GTGCACATTTTCTTTTTTATGTATTTTTATATAAAGAAAGTTAAAGGGTTATGACTACGGGTTATGTGTTCCACCGTTATCACACGTTTATATATATATTTTGTAAAAGAGAGAAAATTTACATAATATATTACGGATTTATGACTACGGATTATGTGTTCCACCGTTATCACATAATTGAAAAAAGAGAAAATATTCTTGTATGAAAATAAATTTATAACAACATCAACAATGCAAACAGGAAATCCCAAAATGCAAAAGAAAACAATAACCATGCACTCATTATTGATAATAATTGCATTCAACAACTCTTAAAGGTAACCTAAATTACTCTTACTTTTCTTCTTCAGGTTTATTTTTAATCGTTTATAATTTTTCTGCTGTTGAATTATGATATAGGAAAGAGCGAAATTGATCAACCTCCTTGCAGGCAGAAAGTATCATTTAGTTTAAATACTCATAATCATGATAATAATTAGGTTTTTTGATGATTTTGGTTTTTAAATTGAAATTGTGGTAGATTTGAATTTGATTGTAGTTTTTAAATTGAAATTGTGGTAGATTTGAATTTGATTGTGGTTTATGGAAGTGAAAAACTTGTTAAATTTTCAGGAAGTGATTGATTTTTGTTTTATTGGGAGAAAGTGTTTTTTTCTTGATTTGGTTTGAATAGTGATAGAAAGGAGTGGAGCTGAATTGCAGAGATTGATAAGTGATATGAAGAAGCTTCAAATGCAAAACTGAAATTTTGCTCAGTCTAATAGTCTCATGTTTACTACATATACGATTATTTGTTGGCAGCAACAAACACACATGTATTGGTCAAGTGGAAAAAAAAGGCACCCTTAAATATATTTAGTTTTATTTTTTTTAATTGTATAAAAAATGTAATAAGTAATGAGTTCATACGAAATCTGGTCTCACACAAAGAGATAAAATGATATTAATTCTTAAATATATTTAATTCTTTTTTAATTGTATAAAAAATATAGCAAATTTGGTGTGGATATTCGTGTGTTTGCACGAATATTGGTGTGTTAGACGTATTTACTTATAAAATGTAATAAGAATGAAAAAATAAAAATACAAAATTATTTAACAAATTTATTATTTTTAAAAGAAAAATATATAAATTTTTTTTATAAAATTATCATTAATTAATAACATGTGGAAGGCAATTCGTTGTTATAAATTTACATGTGGAAAGGACGTAAATATTAATTATTTTCTCTCTTTTCAATTATGTAAATTTATCTTCCACATGTTATTAGTTAATGATAATTTTGTAAAAATCTTTATAATTTTTCATTTTCATACAAGAATCATTATTTTCTTAATATGTGTGAGAAGTCCAAAATAACTTATAATAAAAAAAATGGTCGTAGTAACCAATAAAAATGATGACTAGTCTTCTATTAACATTCAATACCACTCTTAGTGTATGTTTGCCAAAAAATTCACGCAACTGTTTCCTTATCTAAAAATATGAGAAGCAATAAAAGACAAATATTTAACCATATTAATACAACTTATCCATCTGACACGAATTTCCCAAGGCACTTAGAAAGTAGGAGTAAAAACACGAATCACAGCAAGAAAATCATATTCTAACCAAATCTTGTTCCAACTCTTCTCATTGGAGAATTCAATAGCTAGCATAACATCGATGAGTTCGACAATAGGAGAGTTGGATATACCAATGAAACTTGCATAGGCTCCAAGAAACCTTCCATCGAAATCTCTAGCAATACAAGCACACACAAAGGATCCAAGATTACGTAAGGAGGCACTGGTATAGTTAATTTTAATCCAGTTTCATGGGAGAGACTTCCAAATAACTTCCACAATCTTAGGAGCACAAGTAGGCTGAATAGTGACCCTAAAGTTCTTCAGAACAACAAAGTCATGAATATTAATATAAGACGGAGTTTAAAATTATTACCGGTCAACCCACATACCGAAACAATACCGACAATAGTAGAAGACGAGGAAATACACACATTTTGGAATCTAAATTTGTTGTCAGCAAACCAACTAGCATCGTGAAGATGAATAACCGCAACATTGAAAATAAGCTCACACTGTTCCGACCCATTCCGCTTGCAAACCACCCAAATATCTTCCCAAACTGAAATTTGGGAATTAATATTCAGAGGTTTTCGCAGTAGATTCCATATAACTCTAGAAAAAGGACACTCAAAGAAAAGGTGCAATGATGTTTCCTCGACTGCCGAACACATACAACAAATGGACGGGAAAACAAAACTTCTACTCTTAAGAATGTCGTCCGTAGGAATCTTATGAAGCAACAATCTCTAAACCATAAATGATTTAGAAGGAGGAATATATTTCGTCCAAACCCACCTACCCCAATCCAGACAAACACCCAGGTTTCTTTTGAAATTGTAGGCCGCTTTAAGATGCAGATCCCCTGACGTAGTGTGGTTCCAAGTACAATTATCAGGACGAAGATCGAACGAAATGTAGTCCAATCAAAATTTTAGATGATAGTAGGGAATGACATGACAAGCGAGAAACATAGGATCAAGGAATCCCTTCCAAATTTATAGACAAAATAAGTCGTTAGATATTAGAGTTTCCTTTCTGCATATGTCAAGGAACTCTGTCATGCATACAAAAGTCTGAGAATTATTATCACAAGTCCTTAATATAAGAAAAATAATATTTTTTTAGATTTATTAAATAATTAATGTATTTATACTATATATAATCCAAATACATTTATCTTTCAATGAACCTAAAAAGTCATTTTTTCTTACATTAAGGATAAGATGAGTATTAATACATTAATTATAAAAAAATTGTATTTATTTTAATTTTAAAAATGTAATTTTTATTCGTTATGATTTTAATTAATTTAATGAATTAATTATCAAAGAATTTATATTTAATTTAATATTAAAATTTTAAATTTTACTCATTGTGATTTTAATTAATTTGTGAATAATATATAGAATTAGTACATTTTTAAAATAAATTTATTATTAATTTTTTAATTTAGTGGTTCTTGTATTTTGAAATAGGGAAAGGAGTTAATTATGTTTTGAATAAATAACATATAACGACTATATTCATACACTTGTGATAAAATTTAAAATTACTAATTTGAAGATAAATATATTTATTATCTAAGTTTTGGCAACAAATAAAAAACTGTATTAAAGGATAATTAATTTTATATATTTATAATTTTCCTTCAAAAATGAACTGTCCCTTATTTTGTTGTCCTTGGGTTGAAATAATTTTTTAAAGTAATTTCGACTTTGCTTTTTGTATTGAGATTCGCAAGTATAATGCAAGGAAATCGTCCAAGTTCAACACGCACGTCACTTTACCAAACATTATCAATCTTAGATTTTTTTGTGAGTTAAACATCATTCTTTTGCGAGATTGATAAAAAATTGTTAAATAAATATTATGAACAATGCAAATTATTTCAAACTCTTAATGTTTTTGAAAAATAATTAGTTTCAAATATTAATTAAAAAAAAGGTTCAACTATTTAGATTGCACTTAAATTAACTTGTTTTAGGAATATAAAATAGATTATAGGAAAATCAAGTTTACATTAATAAAATAGCATCTCAGGCGCAATATAATTAATTTGGTTTGGAAGTGAATTCATATTTATTCTTCTGATTTTGTTGTTTCTTTGTTAGATTGAGAACCGAACCCATTCATTTTTTACTTGATATTTAGGAGTGTATTGGATTGTCAGCTGCATTTTCTTTGATTTTGATAGGTGTTCAGAGTTTTCTTCCTTCGGCTTATTCTGTCCGATGATATGTTGTGTTGTAACTTTACTTTGGGTTGTCCTTTCTTCTCCTATTTCTGTTTTTTTTTTTTCGACGCGTGGTTATTTCTATTTTTCTCTGACCTTTGTTTTTAACCGATTTTGTTAATTTCCTAAGCACATCTCATGCTTTTTGTTGTATTATGTTCTCCCACTGTTTTGTTCTTTTCATTTAATATAGTTATTTAAAAAAACAAATTTGTTATCTTGACACTAAAATTTTACAGTAATACTTACATAATAAACGATGGTAAATAATATTTTTAAATAAAATAATATTATTTAAAAAAAATTATTTTTAAAATTTTATTTTATAAAAAATATAAAATTGAGTTATTAACCAATTTTATAATTGTATTAATCATAAAAAAATATACGTTATTAACCAATTATCTTATTTATAATTTATTAACCACTTTCATATTTATTAACCAATAAAATATATACTATTAATCATGTTTTGATATTAAATTAGAAATTTATTAATCAACTTTTACACTCTATTAACCAATTTTATTTTACCATTCAATTTTTTTTAGAACTAATTAGCTAAATTATGAATTGTATTAGTAAATTTTATACATAATATTAATCGAAGTCTGAAGGGAATATATATTATATTTTTATGTCAGAATACATAATAATCAAATTTTAAACTGTATTAATTAAGTTTGAATATTTCATTAATCAAAATAGTTTTAAAAAAAAATAATTTAAAAAGTTAAAATAATATGAAAAATATTGTTCACATATTTATGAATAGTGTATACAATATAATGTCATTTTTAGTGTCAAAGATATCATTTTTCTTTAAAAAAAATAGAGTTGCTAAAATTTACTGTTGTTTAAAATTAAAAAAATTATAATAATATTCTTGCTTAATTTTAAAAAGCCGGGCAGAGTTTCTCCTCCACACGATGAAGTAGCTATATTCTAAAAACTGTCATTTTCCGCAAAAAAAAAAACAATTAGACAAAAACAGCAGTGATTCATTTCAAACCCTTTCATCTTTACTAGTTTTAAAGATAAGGTTGATTAATACAGACTAGCTACCATCTCAACTAGCATGTAAAGGTTCCGTATTGATTCCTACTTCTTTCCATTATATATAGACCACTCTTTCTTACTATTTTTCTCATCCTTCACTACCAAATATCACATTTGAATTGATATTAAATTGAGTACAATGGATCCCAAAAATGCAATCCTCATCCTAGGCCTATTGGCCATGGTTCTTCTCATTTCCTCTCAGGTGTCAGCTAGGGACTTAGCTGAGACTTCCCCTAATACCGAAGAGGGTGAGCTAGCTATACATTATTTTTCTTAATTTGAGATTCAAATGTATATTTTCCAGAGCACAATGTATATGAACACACGGTTGTATTTGCAGTAAATGATGCCAAATATGGTCACTATGGTGGTGGTAGTCATGGCCATGGGCACGGTGGTCATTATGGTGGAGGTGGTCATCATGGTGGACATGGAGTTGTATCCGACAACGGTAACTAATTACATTACATTCTTATCTATCTTGCCAATATATGTATATAAACACACGGTTTTATTTGCAGCAGTTGTTGAAAAATTAAATGAAGTAAATGATGCCAAATATGGCGGTCACTATGGTGGTGGTGGTCATGGCCATGGGCACGGTGGTCACTACAGTGGTGGTAGTGGACATTATGGTGGTGGTGGTGGACATTATGGTGGTGGTGGTGGACATGGTGGACATGGTGCTTCCGACAGTGGAAACTGATTATATCATCATACATGATGCACATTCAAAGTAATAAATTTCATGAATGAGTAACGTTTGGTGTTGAATAAAAGAGATATAGATAGTCTTAAATCTCTTGTGGTTATGTATTATCTTTGTATATGTAGTGTGAGTTTAATTCGAATCTATGTGGTAAATGTGTTATCATTTGTAATATATCAAATATCACGTTGTTTGTACTTTACCTCCTTTTAGGTTTATATATCCATACTAATGAAATTTCTCTAAGAAAATTGGTCGATTAATCGACAGAACAAGCCATGTATAATTCATAAATAAAATCTTTTAGTAATAAAAAGGCATGTACAAGTCATAAACATAATCAATAAAATGAAGATAAATAAATAACCTTTAGAATGACACTTAAAGGGAACATTAACTTCAAAAAAATTTTGATGAAATAAATTCTTCAAACAAATAATTGGCGGACTCGATATTCTTTAAGAAAAATTTACACAATTTTTTTTTTAAATTATTAATTTATAAATATTAACAACTTGTTTACATTAATATATAGATATAAATAAATACTTTGGCAAAAGATTTAACCTTAGACCAATGTTTATTTCAATTTAATTTATAAATTATTTTGATTTTCAGATTTATCAAAAAATAAATTATATTAAATTTATCAAAATTAAACATATCAATATTAAACAATACTTATTTTTATTGTTTTCAAATATATTTTAGTTAACAAAATATTTAAAAAAAAAGTTAAAATAATTTTAACTTGTGCCATATTCATATCACATATCAATATTATTCAATATACTACAAGAATTTTTAGTGTTAAGTAATTTAAGAGTGTGAGCATCATCAAAACTTTTATTATTTTTCACATAATAAAAGAAGACTATCATCACTTTAATATTAAATTAGATGTATTTTACATTTAATTTTACTTTAAAAAAAATGAAAGTGATTTTTTTCTTTTATATTTTAGGACATAAGGAGTATATATATATATATATATATATATATATATATATATATATATATATATATATATATATATATATATATATATATATATATATATATATATATATATATATATATATATATATATATATATATATATATATATATATATATATATATATATATATATATATATATATATATATATCACATTCAACACTTATCTTGAGTAAATTCTTGTCTATAGAAGTATAATAATGAATATTGATTAATTAGTAAAAGATAAAACTCATTAATAAAATACTTAATAAAATACTATTAGTATGATTATGATTATTGTTATTAGTATTACTATTATTATTAGGATTAAATATATCATATTATTGTCAATGTAGCGTGATCTTTAAAAAAATTTGTGAGTCCAACTAGATTTTTATTTTAATTTTGATTTAAATTTTAAAAGACATGGAGAATTCTTTTATTTTCTTTTTTACAATTTTTTTTATAGAATATATTTGGTATAAATTAATTTTTTTTTACAATGTATATATTGGGCCATACATTAGGCTATAAATTTAATAACAAGTAAAGCTGAGTTTATGTATCAGAAGGGGCAAGTACGTCTTGAACAAAATTAAAGTTTACACATGGGCATAATACGTACTTATAAAATACTAAACTCATCTAGATATATGCATATGGCTATACATGAATAATTAGAAGAAAACGAAAAGCATTCAAAAAAATAATAAAAAACGTCATATGAGCATCACACAGGAAAGAAAGAAATTATCCAAATATTACATAATGCATCCTCGAAGGTGTTGGCTTGGAATTTCGATTACAATGGTTGTTTGAACGTATTAATATTATTTTTGGTGTTTGGGCTTCGTTTGAATTGAATTGAGTAAAAGCCCAAGTGTTTGAAATGGCTCGATGGATAGATAAAACAAATATTATAAATATTCGTTAAGTATATTTTGAAATAGAAAGTTTTTGGATATATACGTCAAAAACTTGGTGCCAACAGAAGAGAGGAATTTGAATTTGAAATCGAATGTTTGAGTCATAGGAGATGCGTGGAAGTCTGATGGGTTCAAAGGACATGCAATCTTCGAACGTGGCACTCTATTATAGAGAGACCGTTAGGGGTCAAATTAGTATAAATAGGGATCTTAATGTTAGGATTTAAGAGGTGTTCATTTTGTACAAATTATTCAATATACTCGAAGTACCAAGTGTTAGAGAAAATATTTGCAGAAAATGTACGTATAGACACCATTATTGTTCTTGTCGAAGGCCTCTTGTTGTACTTTTAAACATTTTCTTTACTTTTTAGTCAAAACTTTTACTTTTTCAAGTCATTTACATTTATCCTGCATTTCCTTTACGTTTCCAGTCGAAATTTTTACATTACTCATTCGAAACCCTTTTATTCAAACTTACTTTAAATTATAATTCTAATCTTTATATTGTTATCAACAAAATAATGTTAAACATAAATCCAATAACAAGTTTAATCTTAGAAACTTAGACACGTGTCCTAGGTTCAATCTAGTTGCCAAAGTATTTAGTTTGGAGAACTAGCGGTTGTTTACCAAATTCACGTGTAAAAAAATTGGCACGCCCAATGGGTCAGTGTCGAAGTTTTTGAAAACTTGTATTTTTCTGTGAGCGTCTATCTTTTGTCGTTCATCTTTTGAGTATGTCTTTCTTTATTGTTGTATGAACCTTAGAAGTGGTAAAATAGCCAACAGTAACCAACCAAAACCCAAAAGAAAATATACAAGAAAGATGGTTAACATAACTAGCCATGACGGGGGGAAAAATCCCCCACAGGGATCCGGCACAATTGTTGCAAGTTTGATGGATACATCAACCATAATATCTCACACGCGGCCATACCTACATCTATAGGTTCAGTGGCCACAAATAATTCGACAACCATGCCTCTTTCTTCGAGTGCAATGGGCATTCCTTCGAATGCCCAAACTGGTTCAGTTTTTACACATGTTGGGAACCAAGCCCAATTTTCAACCCCTAGGCCTCCAGGATTTGAAACATTTAGGCCACTAAGGGAACCACCACCATATGGAATGTCAACTTCTTTCATGGAAGGACTTCATAATAGTACAACAACAACCCATTCCTCGGTACAAGGGTCTGGTTCTGGGATGAATAACATGGATCTAAATACCCAGAATCAAGGGTCTTTTACCCAAATGCCTATACTGACAACGAGCAATCAGGCAGCATTCAGGCAACAAATGGATGATAGTAACCATGATATGGTAGGAGTTATGTCTAGAGAGTTGAGTACCATTTTCACTCCTTTGATCTAAAACATTAATAGAACCAATCAATAATATACCCACATCTATCAGCAAATGTCAGCGCAGATGACGCGCATAGCATATTTCTTTGGTGCCCCTAAAGTGCTTGTTCGACGTAGGCAAAACCAGGCCCCAGTTGTTTAGGAGGAAGAACCAATCATTAACCAAGTGCGATTACCTAGACAGGAGGTTGTCGAAAGAATCATAGAACCAAGGGTAAAGCAACAGAGGATTCAAAATGATATCCAAGAGGAACAACCTAGGAGGGTAATGGTGGTTAATAGGGATCAAAATGTAGATGAAGTGGTCCATAGAGTTAGACAAAATAACATGGGAAATAACTTGACCACCATGATCAGGAGAATCATGGCGCAAAATGGTATAAATACTGGACTTAGAAGACCAAATTATTCATCCTCTTTATCTGAATATACATTACAAACAAAATTACCAAGGGGTTGCAAAGTCCCTAAGTTTACAAAATTTTCAGGAGATATTAGTGAATCCACTTGGAGCACATAGCCGGGTATTTGACTGAAGCCGGGGATTTGGAAAATAGTGAGAACCTAAGAATAAAATACTTTCCGAGTTTGTTAACAAAAAATGCTTTCACTTGGTTTACTACTCTTTCACCAAGTTCTATAAATGCTTGGCAACACTTGGAAAGATTATTCCACGAACAATTCTACATGGGGAAATCTAAGATAAGTCTTAAAGAATTCTCCAGTTGTTTACCTTTGTTTTTGGTAAACAACCGTTGATCCTCCAAAAAGGAAAGTCCTTTTGGTTACTACCGAGATCGATCAGATTGATCCCATAACATATGCTAACTTTTATGCTGGTTTGATGTAAAAGTTAATATCTAGGAAGAACGCACGTTCAACCATGGATATGGTGTTTGTGGTTTTGGAAAGTAAATGGAAATGCAGGTAAAAATGCAGGAAACGTAAACTTTGCAAAAGATGATCAAAGCAATGTAAAAAGACATTATTAATAAAAAATGGTGTTTCCAACGTACATTCTCAGTTATTCTTTCACACACATCGGGTACTTAAATAATGTTGAGTAACTAGCACAATAGGTTAAACACCCGGAAAATCTACACAGACTTCCTATTTTTATACTAAAATTATGTAACTGTTGAGGGGTGGCTTTGCTCTAGGATGAAGACAAGTGTCTTCTGCATGTCCCTTGACCTCTATCTTCCTGCCATGTCGCTTTCCCTTAACTGCTGGCGAACTGCATTTCCCTCCAATCTTCAAATTCACATATCCTTCGTGTTTGGTGCTGACACGAGGGTTTGTTCTTCTAGTCGAAGGTCACAAGACCTTTCCAGTCGAAGGTCACAAGACCTTTCCAGTCGAAGGCTTATTGGTGATGTCTGGTCAAAGACCAATTTGTAACTCAGATATTTTCTCTAAGTTTTTTCCATCTGTCAAAGCATTTTCCAGCTTGGCTTTATTTGCTTTATTTTTGGCCCATAAGGCCAATATATCGTGGGTGTCGAATTCAAGAGCCAACAAATTTCCCACCAAGAATGCCTATTTCGACGATGAGAGAAATAAACATTCTTTGATATTCCTATTCAACACCTGTCTCTTTTGTCCACAAAGGCTTAACGTGCACTTTTTGCCTTCCAACAGCTGCCACACTCAGACCCATCATTACTCTTTTCCCAAGACGTCTTTTCAATCAGCCGTTACCATGCTGCCATGATGACCA